ACACGTACGCAATAATTAATAGATCACTCATTACCTTTAATAACTGTGCTCGTTTTGTCGAAAGATACACAATGCCCGACCCTTGTATATCTGCAGCAAAACAACACACTGATAACATTAAAATTAGACGTGTTAATCCAACAATTTTGTTACGTTATACAAAAGGACTCCAGAGGGTGAAAGTTTATTCTATAGTTGCTATCAAATAAAATATGTTGTAGAAAGCAGCGTCTATCTGTTGTAAAGCTTTATACTCTTATTCTTCACGCAAGAATTACTTTATTCAACTTTTGTGTTATTGCAGGTACCCTCCTGTTAGGAACGAGATAAGCAGTTGTTATCATAAGCCCTTATCGATNAACAAAATTAACTTCTAAGACTGATAACGGCAAAAACTATTTATTTACACTAATTACTAAAGAACTTAAAAACACTATTAAATTATTACTAAACTTAGGTTATGAATTATTCTATTTATTTACACTACTGTTGATATATCACTATTCACTGTACTGTTTATTTCACTGCTATCACTGTCAATTTATTTCTGGATTCACTTCTGCAACGGTCAATTTATTTCTTCTCTCGGCGATCGTCTCTTCCTTTAAATACTCTTTTGTTTACTTTCGGGAACCTTCTGGAAACATCCGGATAGTTTATTTTTTCTTTGAACTGTTTAACTGCTTTCCCAGAACGCAGGTACGACACACACATTTATAAATACCGAGCACATGAAGAAAGGCGCCCGCGATAAGCCGTTCACGCACACGTGTGCCCGATCGCACACAAACACACTCGTGCTCGATACAATATCGTAACCAAATTCTAGCAACCTTTAATCCTTATAGAGTGAAAATCGTTTGTAAACACTCCTTTTTTAGTAGAAGTATGGCTGAAATTGGTTATAACAACATCAATTATATCGCCAACTCTGATGTAACGTCAGCTTTTAATAGTCCTGTAAGTTTAGTTGAAAATCTCAGAAATAATGACAACATACCTGGATATTACGTCATATTTTTATTGTTACGAACCCTTTGACAGTACTTTCATCCGTCGCCATATCGATCGGCAAAATAAAAAATTGCTAATCCCCAATTGCCTTTGCGGGTATTTATTGTCATTACCTACCATCTCTCAGACGTTAGAATTAAAACATTTGTTGCCGAAATTGTTCGGTTTCTCTTGTAAATTCGTAACGTTCAAGTTTCTACTAATAACGACTTTCGATTATTACGTCAAAATGTCATCTATCCCCAATATAGGGTAACACCATAACCAAGTTCTACTATATATAATGGTGGCAATCTAGATTCATGATGCATGTTGAGATTGCAAGACTACTTGTGGATCAGTATCTTATAGTTCAATTATTATTCATCACAAGGTAACCAATCTAAAGACTGATTTGACACGCACCCTTTAATATCCTAGTGAATCAATGCAAAAATCTCCCGCAGCTGTAATTAGTATTTATAATAATTAAATGTAGATCTTTCTCTGTTTTTAATATTTACTTGTGTTTCAGTCTCTAAATGTGTCTCCAACTAGTCCTTAATGTTTCAGAAGGTATTCTCTACTATTCCACTTGTATCTCCCCAATTCCTTCATGTTTATGATTTTTATTTCAATAGATTTACTTAAACCACTTCTTCATTTATATTAGCTGTCTAAAATGTGCGATTTTACATCTTGGCGTCGTTAGTCTGAAGACACGTGGCTACACTCTGTCCCAGTCTTAACTAACCTTTGTATTTTGTAAAGCTGGAACATTTTACATCCTTAATTATTTCTGAAAAATAATCAAATCAGGGTCTTTTGCTGCCCCCATTTACTCCTATGTGTTTCTAAATTAATCCTTTATGATATTTGGTAAAAAACACACTTTTTGAAAACTTTCACTTAATTTTTATTAAATTTTTAACAAGTTTCGACCTACAAGGATTAATCCTTCATCTGAAGATGATCTTGTAGGTCGAAACTTATTAAGAATTTAATAAAAATTAAGTGAAAGCTTTCAAAAAGTGTTTTTTTGTACCAGATATCATTATGATCAACTTTCATATAGTAGAGGCCAACTCTATCAGTCTAATCCTTTATGTCTCAAATGCTGTAAGAGGCGATCGACCCTACGTTCTTATGGTCTATCTATTTTAAAATGGCCGCTAAAGCAATAAAAGTGCTACCAAGTGACCACATTATTCACCAAAGGCGACAACAAATCTCTCCAAAGCTTTATTGCTTCAGCTGCCATGTTAAAATGGGCAGACTTTACGAACACCCAAACTAACTTATGATATACCTGAATATCGGAAATCAACAGCTTCCTCTTCTAATTTTTTTATCGCCAGTTTTTATATTGACTCTAACCCTACTTTCATCTCCCTTATATGTAAACATACATACTAGCATTTTTAATTTATTTTTATTTGTTTCAATGCCGATGAAAACTATATTTAATTAATAATAGGTTAGTCTTTAAATAAACGAATAAAAAAGAGTCTCTTTAAAATGTAACCTCTACTCTGATATTTTGGGCATAAATAAATAAATAAATAAATAGAAATATGGAGAAAAGGAGAGAGAGTGAGTGTACGTCGTATAATAAGTTTTTAATGGAAGAGCAGCTCGACGCCTCAGCCTGTTATCTGTAGAAACAATTTCCAAAGATGACGTCCGTCGCGACGGAGACGCTTGAAAGTTCGACGCGGCGACAGGACGAAAATGAGCGAGCGATGATGCCTCTACCAGGCAATAAAAATGTAATTTTCTCGGTATAATAACGTGAAACGGCGCTCATTACGCGAAATTTGAAGTGAGAAACATTAAAAGTTGATGGTTTAGATTAATAATAAAAAAGGACATATTAAAAAGGAGTTAAGAAAAGTCTCCTAGTCCAGTGCGATTAAATCTTATTTTTTTTGTTGTTTAATCTAATACTCTTTTTGGATATCCCGCAGATAAATAAATGCTGGGAACATAGAAACTTATATGATCCCATTGGAACATTATTTCCTGGGTTACTGAATTGAATATATGAAGCGACAAAAATGTGTTTATCCAGTAAGAAATAAACTTGCCACAATAAGAACATTTATTAAGTTATTACCTATTAAATGTCCACTAGATGGCGAAACACTATCTCTGCTCGCCTATTTGGCGCGTTGCTGAGATCGAAATCATGATCCGCGTCTGGTAATTTCGAATAATTTATGATCAAAACATTAACGTTTGATAACAGCCAATAAAATTCAATAAAGCACTGGGGTAATTTATAAAGTTGGGATACTAGGAAAAGTTTTTTTCCATATGTCCATGGTAAAACTGTCCATCAGGTAATGAACTTTTAATAGAAGCAGCGGTCGTGAATATCCAAAGAATATAATGCATTTTTTTCATGCATAAATATGTCTCTAATTAGCCTATTTCTTATCAAATTCCACAGCGTCCTCTATTCTCTTACAGTTTCTACCATTTCTAATCCTTTCTATCAACGGTATTGTTGTTAGATATACCCGAATTTTCTCAATTCGTTCGGCTTCTTATGAAGATTCCTGGTTCTTCGTTCACCAAGGAACGAAGGTTCTTTAGACTAAAACGTCTTATCTTTAAACAACACTGGGTCAAGAGTCATATTGCTATGTTAAATATATTATAAGAAAACATAGACGAAAATCATTAAGAAAGTGAAAATTTTCAAGATATAGCCTGTATATCATGATGGAATCGATCTTAATAAGTCGATGGAAGAAAATTTTCGCGAAAAAAAATTTTTGTAACTCTAAATTGTTCATTTTTGTAGGTACATTGAATTTCATTTTTGGTGTACCATATTAACCCCCCCCCCCACTACCAAAATGTGACACATGAGCTGAATCTATTCCCCCGCCCCTGTTTTACGTAATAGTTTTTCTAAACAAAAAATAAAGCAGTACCTATAAATGAGAAACATTAGCAATACAAATTGGTAAGTTCTGAGCTGGTAGGTCTTCCCTGGTACATTTTTTATCCACGTTGGTACATAGTAGTCATTTCTACTTTATGAAATGAAGAGCCAATAAATTTGTAGGTTGCACTTTGAAAGCTTGTCCATCTTTTAAACGTGCCGTTGTTTTGAGCCCAACGTACTGTTTAGACACCGGATGATCAATAAGCTGATGCTGGAGGCAATGTGCGGTCTCCATGGCAACGCACCGCACGCAGTTTTGCGATGGGGCGCTTTTAAAATTGCTGCACACAGCTGCCGGCAGCGGCTTACCACATACATAGCACAAAGCACGCTACAGCGAAACACCTATACGGGAAAGCTCGCGGGAACATTTTTGCGTTGTTGGAAAAGCTTCATTTTCATTTACGACTTTTTGCCCGTTTCTTTCTATCACAATAATACATAATCTATCCATTTGACGAAATACATATCAGTGTCATCAGAACCTGAATGGATTTAATTAGACAAATTTAGAATTGAACACCTTGTTCATTCATTAAGCTATTGAGTAGTACTAGTACAAAAACATCTGGTTAACTGCAAAAACAAACTAACGTTGCTGTGGAATAACTAGTTTTAGGGATGTATTTTATTGACAAAATATAAACATCATCTCCATAATAATAAATCCATTAAAAAATAGTTTTTATTGGAGCTTTTAAGCTTTTAGGAGAAGTTACGAAACCATCTTCCGTTTCTTAGAAAAAAAAAACGTAAAAGAAAACAGTGTCGGCTTGAAAGATTGACGTTATTTAATATCCAACAATTTTCTACCTTATTTATCAGCAAATGCATTTAGTGAAAGTATCAGAAAGAATAATGTGATAATTCGGTTGATTCCGCTTGACTGTCCTCAGATCTTGGCACTTGCTAGCATTGTTGTTCCATCTACTGGAACGTGGGTGAAATCGAGGCGTAGCAAACTGTTTTTCCGGGTCGGAAAAACTGAGGAAATCGGTAAGCGCGCGCATAGCCGGAAAATCGACGCACATAAAGAAAACGTGAGCTGTGCTGGTGGTTGAAGAGATGTAACAGCAACTGTTAGATAAAATTTATCTATCAGTACCCAAGTGTTAAAATATTTCTTAAATAATGACTAGGTAAATTTTTGATAGGTAAGTACACAAATTTTTTTTTAACATACATCAAATATATACGTAAATATTTATGGTTATGGCTACCAATCTTTGAATTTTTTTTGAATTAAGGTAATCAAGTAAAATCGGTTTTTCTAATTTACTCCAATTTTTTGCTGTGTGGGAATGCAATTATTTAAAAACATTATTGGGTCACTCGGGCTTTCAAAATTGTTTTGTAGATTATTTAACACTTTTATTCTACAAAACTTTCTAGTGNGGGAATGCAATTATTTAAATAAATTATTCGGTCACTCGGGCTTTCAAAATTGTTTTGTAAATTATTTAACACTTATTCTACAAAACTTTCTAGTGGTAAGTGTACAGATGTCATCATATAAAATTATAATCACAGAGACAAAAACTAACAATGACTATGGTACATATTTATCCCTTGGCGTTCTTGCAACAACTGTCAACTGTTCCCTGGTTATCGCTAATTACAGAGTAGCGACCTCTCGGTGGGTGTCACCCCTCATCACCCTCCGTGGTACTCTTTCTCTTTGTACCAGCCGCGATGCACTTGTAGCCAACACTATACCAGATTGTTTAAAAAATATATACAGGAGGACCCAAGCTCGAATTGATTTTCGCCTCTAAAGTCAAAGAGCACATTCACAAACTCGTTTAGACTTTATAAGGAAATATAATTAGATTCTATAGTTCAACATTGGTATAATCCGAAATAAAACTTTCGCATTTACTTTCTTCTTTTAACTTAATAACTAGACTAGAATGGTTGCTACTTTTATTCACGTAATATATAAAATCGTAAACATAAGAAAGAGATGTCAGGTAGGAATTGCAGCGGACACTAATAAATTGATGTGCAACAGAGTGAGATGCAGACAAGGGGAATTTGAGCATGTTGCCCAGCATCGAACTTTAAAGAATATTCAAGATTCTTTGGAATTTAGAAAAACAAAGACACTGTTTATGTTTTTTAAGTATCTAAGTAACCTCTAACCATTGCATACGGTTATCTCTTTTCACTTTATTTTTACTACTTATGAAGCATTTTCTAACTTAACGAGGGCGTGTTCCAGTGGCTTAGCGTGAATTTCTACCACCCGGGGCGAAACCTAAATTTACCGCTCTTCCTATTTCCAATATTAATATCTTTTATTTAATTTGGTCGGAGTTGCAGTGAGAAGGTGTACAGAAAGACTTACATTTTGTGCTTTTTTCCATACGATACAAGATTCGTAAATTACAGCAAAATAATAAATTTCAATTCAAAATATGTCTACTTATCATACTTAATAAGGAACAAACGTAAAATTAAGCATGTGGGATTGCAAAGGTCTCACATAACTTATGTACTTCATTTAAATACATAATTCAGAATAGCAAGCGGACTTTGAGGATTCATCTCAGCATTTGTAAAGAATTGTAAAAGTTTCAATTTTTCAAATAGATTATATCATTACGATCCTGATTATCATAGTACAAATTATTAAAAATTATGATACAAATACCAAGAAATTGGGAAACGTAACATTACTGCGAGGCAGACCTTATTCTATCTAATACCTAAAAAAATATTTTTGCCGCTCCTACATTTGTGCCGCCCGGGGCCTATGACTCTCTTTGACCTCCTGGTGTGTTCAAAACGCAGCAAATGCATACAAATCCAAGTGGAAACAAGAACGAAGATGCGTCCATTTTCACAGATAATTTATTGAGGACTCTGCCAATTTTGATTGTCCCAATTGTAGACAAAATTTCAAAATTATAACAATATTCCCACAATACGGCATCGGTGATTTTCTTACAATCAATTATCGATTGTTAAATCGAATAACATGTAATCGCTCAGTCCTAATAACAATCACCCTGTATCTCGGTATATTAACAACGCAGTTCTAAAATTGAGATAATCGTTTCGATATTTCTATTTATTGTTGACCTTTAACGTTCATATTTGGGACGACCTGTACTTCTACAAAATCCCAGTGCAATTCGAGATGTTATCACTCCCCCTCGAACCCGAGAAAAGCCCCTTCATTAGCCTGTCATTAGTGATCCGCTGTCAACACTTCGATTTCAATAAGATTCAATAAAAACGTATTGGGGTAAATGTATGTATGTACATAAGGTTGATCGTGTTGTGTAGATGTGTGTTCGTGTAGTCGCATCCCCAAGTGAGGACTTGTAGGGCGTCAGATAATAGGGGATGATAATAGTTGCGGAACACTGTTATTGTCTTAACTGTGGGTTCTGTTTGAATGGAGCCGATGTCTTTTCATATCGGGAATCGAAACATTTGCATAATGCTGATAAGACTAGAACGGGTTTCGTCAATGGAGCAAGGAAATTTTTACATACAAGACAACCTGAAAGTGTCTCATGAAATGATAGAAGATTTTCAATATTTTATCTACATACATTTATTCTCACTAACTTTATACTGTCTGCCATTTTCATAGAATGAAAGTTAAAAAATTGTATCCAGCGTTTCCGAAGATACCAAGCTTCTGTTACTTTAATCAAAGATCCTTATGGAAAATTGTTTGGATTCTGGTAATTCTCGACGTGTAGATCAAAAGCCTTCAATGGACGCTAAGTANACTGTCTGCCATTTTCATAGAATGAAAGTTAAAAAATTGTATCCAGCGTTTCCGAAGATACCAAGCTTCTGTTACTTTAATCAAAGATCCTTATGGAAAATTGTTTGGATTCTGGTAATTCTCGACGTGTAGATCAAAAGCCTTCAATGGACGCTAAGTAGTAAAGACTTTAAAGGTTTTTGAGGTATATGTTCCCTTATAATTAGATTCCTTCCTTAAGGACTTCCAAGGTATAATTATACGTATCATACTTACATATATACATATGTTGATGTATTGCAAATTATGGATTTATCATGGTTTCGGACATTCCTCATAAGTATGCTATCATGTTCAGGTGTGTACTACACTTTGCAGAGTTCATTGCTGATCTACACGTCGAGAACTACCAGTATCCAAAGTTTCAAAGAACTTGACAAATGGTCATTTTCTATTTATTAACAATCGATAATTATCATAATTAATCAATCTTTTTCCCTGCAAAGAGATATAGTAAAATCCTCCGACTGGTGCTTCTTCCTACAGTAAAAAAAGCCATAAAAATTGTGAAAAGCATTAGAACTTATTATTATTATTATTATTCAATAACTTGAGGTACCTACGGTAGGTTCGGTTAAGTTAAATTGGATTTTGTTTCAATGACCCATACGTCAAGAATTCTGTTTTGTTTTTATGTTTCAATGTAGACAATAATGTCTACAATTTGATTTATAAACATGCAAATATTTCGCTTAAGAAAGTTAATACTTGTACGTTACTTTTAGGTTTAATTTGATTATAGATAAGTAAATTAATTAGTAAACAATACAAGAAAATGTTAAGTGCAATGCTGGTAATATTTTTATACGTAATGAGTTTATCGGAAGAGCGGGGACCGCACCACCCCCGTGGATCGAAAGTAGTTAAATATCATAGTCACTATAGGCCAAAAAGAGAAGCTGAAGTTAAATTAACCCAAGATGAAGAACTCTTGCATGATACTGAGCATTTACAGGTATGAAAACCAAGAATTACAACGAATATGCTTGGGTCAGTTTAGGAAGGCGAACTCCCCATTTACGTTTACTTCTTTTTATTGTTCCATAAATCTTGCCACACATCTAACATAAGTTTCTGTCTCTCACTCTTATCAAATCTATCTGTTCTTCACCAATATATTTTATCATTTTTTAAATTCTTCAGCTGTATCGTCTTATTTCAGTTCGGGGCCTCGACTTCCGAAATTGACTGCACTATTCATAGGTAATAATACGTTGTGTTTCCATTACTGTCATGTAGGCATCACTTTTGTTGAGTGAGTTTTCTTGTTACAGGAACATCTCGAAAATGAAATCAATGAACCAAATTTGTCGCAAATGAGTGAAGAAGAACTCGAGTTTTACTATTTTCAAGTTCATGACACTGATAAAAACTCAAAACTGGATGGATTAGAAATACTCCAGGCAATTTATCACACTTCGCACGATGATGACAATAATGCAGATCAAAATGATGATAACAATCAATTTAACTATTACGTAGGTGAATATTTTTATCCTAATTATTGTTGAATTGATTTCATTATTTCCATTGGATTTGTTTCAGAATTAATCGATAAAGTTTTGAAAGAAGACGATACCGATAATGACGGTTATCTGAGTTATCCTGAATATGTGGAAGGACGTAAGAAGGACTTAAACCAAGAATCTTCTGTTAAGATAAAACCACTTAATTCTCAATCCTCAGCAAAGAATGCTCCTACATAAAAGTTAAGGGGCAAAAATAATAAAGTTATTCAGTATGCTGATAGTAATAAATAATAAATGTCTTTGCTCTTTAGTTTTACTTTTTAAAAGTTTTCTTAATTAAATTAAAATAAACGCATTTATATATAATATTGCAAAAACAGCTGAAGTGTATTTATTGGTTTACGTTAAAAACCACCCAGTTAATCCATACAAATTTGGTGTCATTACACAGACACAGACAATGTTTGTTTTATTGTCTTACAATTAGACATAATTTTAATTAAAATGGTTCATTTTTAAATTACTTTTATATTAAGTTTGTAGATTAATACAGAATATTTCTTTGTTATGTTGTCATCTACCAGTACACAATATTTCTGTGTACCACGTAGATTTTATGAGTAGAAGCCATTTCGGTAGTAGCTACGCGAGCGCCTTAGTAGTATAGTAACTTTGACTACAGATGTCGCAGAAGCGTAATACTTATACGGCAAGATGGATCATAATTACTTCTGTACATCTGGGATCATATCGAAGTGTTAACTAAATTGTACCGTAAGTAATGAAAAGGTATCAAAAGGCGTTACAACAGTATTAAAAAACAAATTAAATATTAAGCTGTCAATTTGTTGAAGAATTTAATAAAAAAAATACCGTGCGATTTATTTGTGCGGCAATGCCTAGACATGTTTGTAATATTTTTTACAATTAAAATATGCCTTTTGGGTTTTCAACGTTTTTAATCTAGGTATATTTAATTATCTAATCTGCAACACTTATTAATACACAACATATAATCAATATTATCTCTATAATAATGATGTTATTGTCTTTCAGGGTTGCATTCAAACCGACTGCACTCTTTCTTAGCTTCCCCCCACTCTATCGCTTCTTGTACTTCCCCCATTATGTATTCATAGCGTGGATCGGCATTGAGGTCTAACATCTTCGTTGTTTGTAAAATTGCATCGCCAGCATTTTTGTATTTCATCGCGAATTGAGGATTTTGACAAACAACATATTGGAGGCAACCATTATTGCCAGGAGATCCTAAAAATTGGGTAGAAAAAGATTGGATAATAATATTTAAGCTATTTTAATACTAGATATTAATAAACAAAAAGAAACCTTGAATCAAACTAGCAGTAAATTTTGTTGCTCGAGACACTAAGGTTAATACAGTAAATCGGAATTATAGTATTTCAAAACAAAGGTTTCGACATTCTTCTTTCATTAAAAAAGACTGCGGAACGATTGGTCGTACGGATGAAGCGTCCGCGACAAAAACGTGTGGCTTGTGAACATACGTGTTTTCATCATCATCATAAAGTCGTCAGTCCTAAGACTGATTGGACACGCATCTCTACTCTTTTCTATCCTGAGGTAATCTTCGCATTTCACTAAAACTAGAACAGCCCACATCCTTAACTGTTTGCGAACAGTAATTTAATCTAGGTCTACATCTACTCCTCTTAACTCCTGTTTCAGCCTCTAATATGTGTCTGATTAGCCATTCATGCCTGAGAAAGTATCCTACCAACCTATCTCGCCTATTTCTTATTGACTTCCTTTGTTCTCCTATTCCTTCTAATATTTCTTCATTTCTAACCTTCCCTATCCACGCTATCGTCATCATTCGCCTTAACACCACATTTCGAACGCGTCTAACGTTTTCTTTTCCGCCGCGCCCACCGTCCATTTTTTGAATCCGTACAGCGCTGCGCTCCAAACCATACACCTTTAACAATCTTTTTCGAATTTCCAAATTAATCGTTCGCGGGCATAGAAGTGACTTTTTACTGAAGGCGACTCTACCCTGCACTATCCTTTGCTTTATATCCCTACTACTCCTTCCGTTCTGACTTATCTGACTTCCTAGATACCTAAAATCGGCCACTTCTAATTTATTCGCTCTTTCCCTACTTTTTCTTGCTTTGCATACCAGTATTTTTGTTTTACATTTATTTATTTTCATACAGTACTGTTTTGTCAATACCGCTTCCATTTTATTTAAAGCTATCTCTAACTCATCCTTGTGAGATGTTAATACTGCTAAATCATCTGCAAATCTAACCATACTAATCTTTTGCCCCTCCATATCTATCCCTAGAGTTGTACTGTCTTTAACGATGTTGATCCCTTTTTCGATGTATAGATTAAAAACTATGCTATGTAAAAAAAAAAACAAAAACAGAAGACACTGCGTTCTTCTATGTACTGATATACTTTGCCGTTAAAATAATATATTGGATTGTTCGGAGTCATTTCGTTTTTTTTTGTGGAAATGAAAGACAGTTTTCGTATAATAAACAAATACTTTATTAAATTATATATTGACCGTTCTGGTCCAACACCTTTTGCCATCTTTCTGGTAGTAGCATAATTCCACGCTCATAAAATTTTNCTTCATTAGTGATTAGTGACTGATCTTCTTCCCTTTTTCTATGATAGTAGTCATCTTTCAGAGCACCAACTCCTAATGTACCAGCCGCAAAAATTAGGGCTTTCAATAGTATCAATACCAATAAATTAGTTAGATTCACAGAAATAATTTGAGATCCATTCCCGTTTGAATAACTCCTAGACATCAAATTTCCCACAAAGGTAGATAACATAGTTCTGGCATCAATAGCTCTAAAATCCAAAACTTAGTTAAATTTAATTTTTACATTTTAATTGCTACTTGCCTTTCCTGTTTACTCATAATCAAATTTTCTTCTGGAGATATCACAACAGCTAAATTAACACCAGCAAATAAAAATACTACTGCTATACATTTCCCCATAAACATTTTGATTTAAGCACTTATTGTTGTTGTTGTTGTTGTTGTTGGAAACTTTATACAAATAAGAATAACTCTTGGATACGTTTTCCTCCCTTTATAATGTCTTGTCAGTTACCTTAGGGGAACGAAATTCACCCATTCATTGTCTTTGTGAAATTGTATGGAATTATTATCTATTATTTACCGTTTCACTATATGAACAAACTAAGTTGCCTTGTCTCAGAGAAGAAAAATAGAATCGAAAGTAAAATGTTAGCGTTTTGGTTGAAGTAGCTGGCACAAAAGATAACTATTTGACATGTGGATGATGGATGCAGAAAATTGAAATGAATAAAGCAATAAAACATGCAACACAACGTGTCGACATTTCAATTCTCTACTGTTTCTTTTTTCATATTGGAATTCATTTTTTAAAAACCATTGCGAATGAGGATAATCATTCGTACAAAAGCTAAAGATTTGATACATATAGTCGGGATGTTCAAAATTGACATAGTTCGCAATAAAATTATCACATTTACTTTCTTATTTCAACTTACTAACAAGACTAGAGTGGTTGCTATTTTTATTCACGACAGACATTATAGGGAATATCGTAAACATAGAAAAGAGATGCCAGGTAGGAATTGCAGCGGACAACAGAAGAATAACATTATACCATTTGATATGTAATAGAATGGGATGTAGACAAGGAGAATTTGAGTACGTTGCGAGCCTTAAAAAAAGTTCAACATTCTCAGGAATTTAAGAATTTGTTTAAAGATAATTTCCAACCATGCAGTTATAAAGCCGTCCCTGATCTTTTGCATACCTAAGCAACCTCTAACTGCTGCACCGCTTACTATTATTGAGTTTCTCTTTTCATTTTGTCTGTACTCCTGGTGAAGCTTTTCCTAACTTAACAAGGGTCTGTTCAAAACGCAGCAAATGACTACAGTCCCAAGTGGAAGCAAGAAAGAAGATACGTCCATTCTCGTGGATAATTTATTGGGGAATTTGACAATTTTGTTCGTCCCAACTATATTTCCATTGATGTGGGTCCATCGCTTAACTGCTGAACAGCTTTTGAGCAATTTATTTCAGTTTAATTCGGTGGACGGATTATCACGACATTCCTATTTAAAGTTAGGTTATAAATATTTTCGTACAAAACGATGATTTAAATACCTCAAAGGTCACAAAACGTACGTCTTCTTGTCACTGAGAAAAAGGGATGAGCGATGCGTTGCGCATGTATGGGGGGAGGGAAGAAGTTACTACTTCCGCTTCATCGTAAAGCGCGCAAGACGCTCATGATGTGCAGTTCACAATTAGCTAGTGAGAAGTATGAAATACATACATCTAAATCATTTTTCGTTTAGTAGTAGTAGCATTCACGAGGGGTTGTGGAAACTCCGTTTACTTCAACATATTTGTGCAAAAAAACATATTAATACCATTTTAATGTTTTCCAAGAACATTTATCATATTCTTCAATAATTAATTTTGTCTACTTGGTTTCCTAAAGATAAACAATAAATGTACTATACTATTTTCCCATTTAGGTCCCATTTCTAAAATTTTTTTGAAGTTAATTTAAGGGACTCGGATAAGTAGGTACTATGAAAATAAAATACCCAAAAATTTGTCAAATATTTAATTAAAATTCTGTACNCTTACGTTCGACAAACAGCTCCTAAATTGTAGTTTACTCTTCCGGTTTTGAGGTTTATTATTAGCTACTCTATACAAACACTAAAGAAAATACTGCCGAAAAATAGTCTATATTTCTCATTGTTGACAACGTTTTGTAATTTATTGCAACTGTTAAAATAATGGGTATACAATAATTAACATTCCATTCAAATCATTGAAATCAAAAGTTGAAGGTGAAAGCATTTACAACTTCAAATTGCAGCAGTTATTAACACGGTTCATTGAACTGCACTACTTAAGTAGAAAATTGCTTTCTTGAAGAAAAAGGATTCAACATTGATTTAGTTCATAAGTAAAAAGTTGGAAGTCGTGAACTACGACTAGACGAAAGTATAAATGTATGTATGCTTGTGTTTATGAAAAGAAAAATAAACAGTAGAAGCGGAAAATCGTAAAACAATCCGTTAATAAAGGAAGAAGACTCCTGTAGAATGTCGATTTGCTTCGTACCGGAATTTCTACTTTCACTTTGACCCAGACCAGACCAAACGCATTGTGTCGTTTGTGTGTTTGTTATTACAGGAGCGAAACGGAAAGAAAGCTCTCATACTTTTACTTAGAGCATCACGATTATCAGTTCTGCGCATTTAAGGGGCTGTATCTGGATAATAAGATAGGTAAATTCTGATAAAGAAAAGAATTTGAATAAATAACAAGAAAGTAAACCAGGTACACAATAAATAAATAGTTTTAAAAGTAAAGCCGTGACAAATTACCGTACACATTTGACCATAAAATGTTTTTATTGGGGAAAGCTATCAGCAATAATTATAAACATTAGAATACCAACTATTCTGCAAAAATTCGACATAAAAAGTAACTTTTTACAGTTTTAAATTTTGGCACGAATACGTTTATTTAACACAAGGAACTGGTAGATGTTTATGAATAAATTGTAACTGTTAACAAAAAGTGTCGCTTATGGTTTTAAATTAGCATCTTGCTATGATAAAAGAATCCTTTGGCAATATTCTATAACAATATAAACTAACACCAATCTACTGTTCTGTTTCGCACATTAATATTTTTTAACAGGTAGTTGACGATTGCAGTAGAACTTCAAACAATTTCTTTCTTTGATGGCATCCATTACGTCTTGTAGGTGACTAGAGACGCTCTTTACTAATTCAGGATGAGCTCTGTAAAAAATAAAGAACTCAATTAGTTAATGTACAATACAGTAATATCTGATTGTCAGATTGGGTTAGGCTATGTTAAGTTAGGTTCTTCATGTTTAAAACTAGGAAGAAATTACGTAATAGGAATTCCTATTTATTCGTTAAACTGCAACGTAGACCAGAAACACGTTATTGTTAATGGATTAGTTAATAAAATAATTCGAAGTGGTCTGTATTCTGTCGAAACTGCCAGACGCGGATAACGATTTCGATCTTTTTGGATCTCATCAGCGCGTCGCAGGCAGCTCCGACAGAACACAGACCAACTTTTACCTGCTGTATTAACAGTGCGTTTTAGAAAATACTACAAATGGCGCAGTAAACGCCATCTGTAGCACGATGCTACATTTTAGGATTACGTATGCTCCAGGTTCAGTGAATGTTGATTAATTAATAAAGTAAACAATGGTTTCTATCAATAAAGCAACATCGATTAATCTTACAATAAAATACTTAACTGACTAATGATAACAAAAAGAAAAGAAAAGAAACGAAGGGTCATTGTGTTCTAATTTCTCTTTCTCGAAACGGTTATTCTAGACGATTTCTCGGTACCTTTCCATGATTGCTGATATAAATTTCAAATCAATTTCTGTTTTGCAAATCAAGGCAAGCTAGAAAGTACGTTTTTAAATTTTTATAAGCATAAATGGTTATTATATTTGGTCAGTTCATGAAAGTTAATTAAACTAGAGATCGTTTTAACAGAAACAGGTTATTGAATAAAAATACAGATATTTTACTAATCTTATAACGTTTGGGCTTTATATTTTATTCTCTTTTTATAGGAGGTACCCTTATTGGTTTTTTACCATTTTAGAGTAAAATTGTCTTTACATAGATTCAATTAAGTATGTTACGAAATTGTTTGCTATTGAATATAAATTCTTCAATTGAAAAATTTATTGTCACATTGTTCTCATCAATATTCATGTACCTCTACTCCCAAGTAACATGTCTACAGGCTCATAAATATTTCGAAAATCCTTGATTTTTTACGTTGCTTACCATAAACTGCAACAGAATTACTAATTTGTTGTCTTACCCAACGTATAGATTCATACAAAAAAATCACTGAAATAATGTTTTTTGATTCATACAAAATTTATGGACACAAACCATATGTGGCTACCACAGCAGCGTAAGTGAAACGTCGATTTACAGCGTCAGGTATATTGTAAAAGGTAGGCTCTCTTTGGTTTTCTGTACCCCTTATAATAAGTGTCCAACCGAAACAGGACTTTCTACCTAAACCGAAACCGAAGTCGAATCTTCGGTATTTGTTTCAGTTTCGGCCGAAAACGGTGACTACTTATAATGTTCGACAAACTGCTCCTAAATTATCGTTTACTCTTCCGGTTTTGAGATTTATTATTAGCTACTGTATGCATTTTTGGCGAAACTTGTCGAAACCGAAACTGAAACCGAAATCGAACCTTCGATCGGTTACTATACTTATAATGTTAGACAAATTGCTCCTAAATTATCCTTTACTCTTCCAATTTTGAAGTTTTATAACTAGCTACTCTATACATTTTTGGCGAAACTTGTCGAAATCGAAACCGAAACCGAACCTTCGGTCGGTCAATACTCATAATCTTCGACAAACTGCTCCTAACTTATCGTTTACTCTTCCGGTTTTGGGGTTTACCATTAGCTGCTCTATACATTTTAGGCGAAACTTGTCTAAACCGAACCGAAACCGAGTCGTCGGTCGGTCACTATTTACAATGTTCGACAAACTGCTTCTAAATTATCGTTTATACTTCCGATTTTGAAGTTTTATTATTAGCTACTCTATATATTTTTGGCGAAACTTGCCGAAACCGAAACCGAACCTTCGGTCGGTCAATACTTATAATGTTCGAGAAACTGCTCTTAAATTATCGTTTACTCTTCCGGTTTTGGGGTTTACTATTAGCTGCTCTATACATTTTAGGCGAAACTTGTCTAAACCGAACCGAAACCGAGCCGTCGGTCGGTCACTATTTACAATGTTCGACAAACTGCTTTTAAATTATCGTTTACTCTTCCGATTTTGAAGTTTTATTATTAGCTACTCTATATATTTTTGGCGAAACTTGCCGAAACCGAAACCGAAACCGAACCTTCGGTCGGTCAATACTTATAATGTTCGAGAAACTGCTCTTAAATTATCGTTTACTCTTCCGGTTTTTAGGTTTATTATTAGCTGCTCTATACATTTTTGTTAAAACTTGCCGAAACCGAAATCGAAACCGAAACCGAATTCGAACCCTCCTTAATTATTGTTTACTTTTCCGGTTTTGAGGTTTATTATTAGCTACTCTATATCTCTATACATTTTTGTCGAAACTTGTTGAAATCAAAACCGAAATCGAACCTTCGGTCGGTCAGAACTTACGTTCGACAAACAGCTCCTAAATTGTAGTTTACTCTTCCGGTTTTGAGGTTTATTATTAGCTACTCTATACAAACACTAAAGAAAATACTGCCGAAAAATAGTCTATATTTCTCATTGTTGACAACGTTTTGTAATTTATTGCAACTGTTAAAATAATGGGTATACAATAATTAACATTCCATTCAAATCATTGAAATCAAAAGTTGAAGGTGAAAGCATTTACAACTTCAAATTGCAGCAGTTATTAACACGGTTCATTGAACTGCACTACTTAAGTAGAAAATTGCTTTCTTGAAGAAAAAGGATTCAACATTGATTTAGTTCATAAGTAAAAAGTTGGAAGTCGTGAACTACGACTAGACGAAAGTATAAATGTATGTATGCTTGTGTTTATGAAAAGAAAAATAAACAGTAGAAGCGGAAAATCGTAAAACAATCCGTTAATAAAGGAAGAAGACTCCTGTAGAATGTCGATTTGCTTCGTACCGGAATTTCTACTTTCACTTTGACCCAGACCAGACCAAACGCATTGTGTCGTTTGTGTGTTTGTTATTACAGGAGCGAAACGGAAAGAAAGCTCTCATACTTTTACTTAGAGCATCACGATTATCAGTTCTGCGCATTTAAGGGGCTGTTGACCGCGATTGGGTCGCCCTCTTTTGTAGAAAATACGTAATAACTTACGTGCGCAGTATATTTATGAATAAAAAGTGATTCTCAATTTATCAGATATTTTATCTAGATTTTATATCATAAACGTTTTAGTACGTAGGGTAACGTACAGATTCACACTTTCGCATACGGTATATTATTATTAAAGGTTATAGACATATAGGATAATAGACAGTTTGATATTTGTATATATTTCTGAATTAATTTAAACAATTGTGGCAAACCTGTGACTGCAATGAAATTATTACATATTAAGTCTAAAAACCTGGGCAAAACGTCGGCAATTGTTTTTTTTAAATAAATGAAGTACGTTTAACCCCAATATTGCTTTGATTAAACAACTGACTACCAAATGATCAATGATATTACGTAAAAATTGGTCTGAGCACACTTTGGTCGGTGCTAATACGACTAACTTCCCATTAGATAATACAGTTATTGTAAAGTACATTCGTTTCTAAAGTTTGAAAAAAACGCGGCACAATAATAAATAACAAACAATGTTTGAGAGTTCGTCATTTTATAAACCCATAAGAAACAGTATTTCGTCTGAGAAAACCGAATTGATAGAGTACTTGCATCAGTCAATTGGTAAATACTATTTTTTATTGTTTATCGATTGTTTATAACAATTCATTTTGTTATAAACAAATTTTTATTATAATATGTTATTATAATATGTTATTCCCTGTCTTGAATAATGATATTTCGTTATTATTGATTCCGTAACTTCATTGTTGTGATTAGATTAGAACGTATTTTAATTAAATTGTTTGTAATTAATTCGTTTTTTTTTTTATAAAAAAAAAACGGCTTGACCGATTTCGTTCAAATTTCTTTCAGATCTTCATTATGATAATATCTTTCGAAAAAATTTTGGTTGAGGGCGATATCTCAATCCGTTCTTGAGATATCGAAAACGAAAAAAATGCTGACATACGAACGTACGTACATACGTACGTACGTACNCTGTAGGAATTTATTGAACATGTGTAAATAAATAAAGTCCTTTTAACCCCAATATTGCTTTGATTAAACAACTGATTACAAAATAGGGGAAGAATGATCAATGATATTATGTAATAAATTGGAAAAGTTGGATTCATTCAATTGTATTGATATAGTGTACGGTGTACGGAATAAGATAGAAAGTAATTGCGGTATTGAATACACATGAGTCTTCTCCACGTTGTCGTTGAACCGGGTCAGAGAAAGCTTTCCGAAGGACATTCTTTGAAATTGCCGCACCCGAAAGTCACAATTATATTTTTGTACGGTACTACTTCCTAGGGCAAGATCAACGTACGCTGTCAACCGTGAATCCCAACACATATTTTATTTTATTTTTATTATTCTCGACTGAGACAAGGTCTCGAGCATTAAAACGGAATTTTACGACTTATTTTTATTTCGGGTAGGTACCGTTAGTTTACGTATGGTACCGAATAAGATAATACTTGTATATTGAGACGAATCGTAATGGTAAGGGAAATAATCTTCTTTGCATAGGTATTCCGTGAAAAGTATTTCGAAGTATTTTATTGTTGTTCTAATACTTTTCAATCTTCAGTGATAAAATTGTGTCAAGTTACTACTTGTTTATATGAATTTGAAAGCATTTAGTTAGAAAATTAAGGGTTAAGAATTGAATAGTGCAAACTGTAACTTCTGTGAAGCCTGAAGCGTTACTTTTGCAGAAAAAAACAAGCAAACTTACTTGGAAATAAGGACCCCCATTCGCTTTTCCATGCTGATGACTTCATCGGGATGTTTTTCCAACATAACCTCACAAAAAAGTCGCTTTGAGCACATTGTATCAGCCCATAGATGACTTCCAGATAAATATTCCATATCACTTTCTTTCGATATTTCGGAACTGACATCTTGTAAGAGTTCTTCATCGTCATAACCGTTTAGACTTCTCCTTCTTCTCGCCATCTTTTCACCAACAGCATCATTTTTGACAGAACCAGGTTCCTCCATGATAAGGATGACATCTCCAGGATATGGAACTCCTCTCACCTGTTGTAGAGCACGCATCTCTTCCAAAGGAGTTATGTATCTACCCATAGCGGCTGCTCCAAGACCTAAAGCGGCTCCTCCAGCTACCAAACCTAAAGCAGGAAGAATCACTGAAGAGCCCACAGGTCCTACAATCCCCGCTTTCTTTTGGGCTGTTGGTTGGGTTTGGGATATTCCCAAGTTGGATGTTAGTTTATGAGTTACTTGAACGATAGGTTCAATGACAGGTTTAGTAATTTGTTGCATTTTTTGGAAACTGCTTTCCACGTTGTCCTTAATGGCTTCTGTCAATTTCATCCAGAATGGTTGCTCTTTTTTGACAGAACCATACGGATTTTCATAAGCAAATCTGTCGTTTTTCGTGGAATACGATGACGAAGGGTAGTAAGATGAACCTCCTCCTCTACTGTTTCCATAAATTTCATTGGTTAGTTTGTCACTTCTGTAAGAATTTTGTTCGATTTCGTTATCATTAACATTGCTCCCTAAATCCAGTTCTTCGTCTTCTAATTCCGAACTTGCTCTGGCAGGTTGAACACCTAAATCTGGATGGGCATACTGAAGAATTGGCGTTCTCACGCCCTCGTTAAAATTTACAGGACTGAGTTTCGTAGCTCCGGGAGGAGTGTAAATTGGAGAATTTGGAAACGATGAACTTCCCGGATTTTGGAGCATTCTTCTCTGAATGATATGACCGTTATCTGAATTGCTCGCTACCGACTGTCGTCTACCAGTCAGATATTTTCTTCTAGCTTCTTCGGCATTTATTTCTTTGATATACTCTATTAATTTCGAGTTTGCAGTACCAGCATTGTCGGTTTTAGTGAACGGTCCCAGTCCTTCACTGCTTTCAAACTTGACAAATCCTTTCTTATTCAACGGAAAGTTTTCGATATATTTATTGTCTTCAACTGAAAAAGGCCCAATTGAGTCATCTTTTAGTTCTTTCTTTGATGCTCTCAGATTATCCGCTGCAGTATAAGGACCGCTCAGTTTGGAATTAGTATTTTTCTTTATTTGGCTTGCGTATACGAGTTCCCCCAGGGGAATAGCTGCCGGTGGTTTATAACCATCTTCGTAAGGGAACAGTTCGCCGTTTATGACTCGGGCATTTCTCCAAGTCTTCTTGTCAGTATCATCGTCAGGAACGCGTACCCCATGGATTACTGGGATTCCATCTGATCCTACTTCAGCAATGGATCGACCTTTTTTGAATTCGTTTTTTACGAAGACATTAGACGACTGGATGGTTACAGGCTTGGGCACTGATCCAACTCTGGAATAAGGATATTAAAATTGTCTTAAGTATTCGTGGTTTACTCTTAATCTGTGGTACGTGGGTTGTAAAATGGTATAATTGCGAAAAGATTTTTCCATAGATTTATTTATTTTATTTGACTAATACGGAAAGAAAAGAAAAGGTTAGAAGCGTTCGAAATGTTGTGTTATAGACGGATGATGAGGATATCGTGGGTAGAAAAGGTTAGAAATAGGAGAACAGAGGACTCTATGGAAGTCAATAAAAAATAGGCGAGATAGGTTGGTAGGACACCTTCTCAGGCATGAAGGTCTAGTCAGAGACATATTAGAGGCAGAAACAGGAGTTAGGAGGGGTAGAGGTAGACCTAGATTAGATTACTCTTCGCAAATAGTTAAGGATGTGGGCTGTTCTAGTTTTAGGGAAATGCGAAGTTTAGCTCAGGATAGGAAAGAGTGGAGGTACGTGTCTAACCAGTCTTAGGACTGATGACCTTATGATGATGATGATGAATACTTACTTATCTGTGTCTATTACGTTTCCCAATTCACTGTTATTCTTTGAACCAGAATATGTTTCTAGCCGAATTATGTTGGGTTTAACGTACACTGACTGGACAGGTATCCAGTTGGTGGCATACGATCTGGCATCATAAGGTCTGCTATCTCTAACGAAACTATTGCTCCGAATGTGTTTGCTATCCTTTTCTAATAGCTCTTTCAATGTATTTTCCCTGGCTTTATCGTCGAATCTTTCATTCTTATTTTCTCTTTCGAAATTTCTGTTGCTGCTGGAGAATAACAGTGGATTTGGTGAAGATTTTGGTTCTCTACGTTTCACTATGAGCTGTGCAACATTTCCGTCCCTTGTGAGGACGTTGAGGGTTTGGGTATCTTCAGGATTAAGACTTTTTGCTATGCGGATTGACGTTCTGGCATAGGTGGGTTCTAGAATTTTCGGTGCTTCATCTGTAAGACCTTCATTTAATCTCTCCGCGAAGATGAAGGAGATTAGAAAGATCTGAAACAAAAATATTAATTTTCAATTAGTTTACCCGTTACTTAACCACAAAATATCGTAATTTCTATTACAAAAGTATATTTGCTTGTGTTGTGGGTGACATTACCATATTGTTTATTTTCATGTCGTTTCTTCATTCTGTGGGCCAGATATAAGTGTAATCCTTATTTTAATTTAAAATTAAAATGACTACAATTGCGGAATGTTTTGCTCGAAGAAATTCTACGTGACATAATAATTCCATGGTAATTAACATACAATAATGCAACACGTGGATCGATTATTCTTATATTGCAGTATCGTTGTGGGCAGCGTCGTGGTGCTTACCATATACGTTAGTTGAATAATTCGTTAGTCTTGCATAAAAAGGTATCTTTGAAGTAGCGAAGAGGTAGCGTCAATGTAATAGAGAAATTCAGTAAAATGAAAATGTGCGAAGTACAATGATTACACACTTAGAACCAAAATTGGAAAAGTGAAATCTATCCTATAGTAATAAGGAAAGGGAAAAAGAGAAATGATACAAATCAGGAAGTATCAGGTTTTGAACATGTTAGAATGTTTTGTGTATAAAACCTCTCCCGAACAAAATAAGGATAGTGAAGTCTTGTGGATCAATGTTTTCTATAGTTTCGTTGAAAACACCCACCATCATTCACCTATTTCAACGATTCGTAAATGAAGTCGAAGAACATGAAGAAGGTGTTCTTTACACCATAGTGTAGGCCTGTAGTTCGATGAAAAACGCTCCCATTAGCACCACTTACTGGGAACGAAACAGAATAAAGTTTTTTTGGTAAAGAGTACACAATATTTCGTACAGATTTGAGACTGTTTACTAAGCTTCATGTTTGTGATAGTTACCTTCAGTGTTCGTTAACACTATTTTGGTATAAAATCGATTATGATATGTATAATATGGTAATATTAACTGAGCTCGAGTAGACGTATACATATATGCAACCAATTATACATCCTATTAGAGACATTTAGACCCGCTTCCCTTTTTCCATTGTTTTCTCCAAATGGAATAGTCACAATTACTGATTACAGCAAGTTTTAATAGATTACATCAACCATCGTTGTGATTGTAATGTAAAAACAATTGTTTATAACGTTTTAATTCGCAAATATCTTTTAACTGCTTAATAATGTCGGATAAAAATAATTATTAAACACAATATTTAAACGATACTGTTGTTTAAAACTAAACTATTCTGTTATCAACTAGTTATTTGTGGTAAATCTAGGTGCCGTAACTCTTTTGCGATAATAGAGACATAATTGTCACTTTTCCGCCAATTTTGGAAGTGAAACATTTTCTAATGATCATGTCCATTTCGCCGGTCGTAAAATACTTACACTTTCCCTCAAGGTAATTAAATTCCGTCAGCTAGAAGAATTTGTGTCACTGTCAGCAACTAAAGCTGGGTTAAATTATACGTTCTTCGTTTGTCTAATAACAACCAGCGCACATGTATATGTGTGAAGGTAAAAAATATATGTTTGCATTTACAGTACTTAAGCCTATTCTGTTGTTGTACTTTCCTTTTCTAACTGGCGCATTCATAGCTGCTTAGTTCGCTAGAAATTTAAAAAAGAGAACCAGCTATTCGATATACGGTAATAAATAAAAGAACGGTAAATCTGAGTAAGGACATTGGACGATCCTTGACGCTCTGAAATGAAACTCAGGTACAGGTCTGACGAAAGAAGCTGGCGAGCGGTCACGCAGGTACTTCCCCATTTATGACCTATTTGGGTAAGTCACTTGGAACCGATACACAAATAAGCTTTCAGTAAGCGTAAATTATAGTATTAATACAGATGGGACAGTAGCGTAGTAGAAAATAATGTAAAAACGTGACTTACCAAAAAGAAAAAATTAACCTATTGCTTTTGTTTTATAGTTAGTTTTCACATTCACTGTCAACATCGGAATCTCTATCACTGTCACCAACAGCAACAATTAGTTCTTCTGTTTGTATGTCTATTACTTACTCACTGATTCCTGCTTTTAAATATTTAATCTACGCCCCTGATAGGAATACTGAAGAATGAGGGCTGCAATCTTTATACCTAAAACTGCCTACTTTTGCCACCGCGCATCCACGCCATTTTAAAATTTCCGCCAGCTTCCAGCGTCAGGCCTGTACATACACTATAAAAACAAAAGGTGGAAGTCACAAAAGAAAAGGAAGAAGAGGTTTTATGATAAGAAAAAAGAATGTTCTTCGCTAAGCAAATTAACATTATTTTTTTCTGAGCTACAATCATTGAAGAATTGTTTAATTTTTCTGGGATACTTCGGAATACTATACCTATATCCTTTTCATACATAAAGCAAAATTTTCGAGAAAGTCGGTTTTTTACTTGTAACTCCAATTTGACCTGATATCCCACATTTGAATTTGAGGCCCTGCATTTTAATTTAAAGAAATTCTTCTAGACGGCTACAAAAAAGTTAAAAAGTAAATATTTATGTTTTTGTTTGAGTACTGTTGGTTCTCACTTTTAACTTTAATAGTAGCAAGTAGATCTCAAAATAAAATAGGACAATCAACGTATTATTTCTTGGTTAGAAAGTGTAACAGCAAAATATCGTCTAATTTTCTCCATAATGACCTCAAGTCTCAGGCAATTAAAGGTAAGATTAACATGATGTTTTGTGTTGTTTAACTGACAATGTTTTTATAACCAGTGAAAACTATGGGTAGATATGACTACATTTATCTAATTTAGAGAAATGTAAAAGTGAAACTAGAATAAATATACTGAGAAACTTATTTAATTAATCTTAGAGCTTGTAGCTCATTAAAAACGATGGTGTATTTTTTAAATAGCCGGTTTGCCATGCTCTATGAAGCTATAGAAGAAAAGGTAAATTTTTGAGAAGAAATCTAGCTAAAAACCGTCAAATTTAAATCAGTCCCAATTGGTAAGACGAGAGGTTAGGTCAATGTGGGTATAGGGATGTGTAACTCATAAAAAAATTGTTCAAAGATCGATTTATTTGACTAAAAGTAACTGGTAAGGAAGGAAAAATATGGAAAGGCGAATATAAAGATAGGAGACTAAAAATTAAAAGAAGTGGCCGATTTTAGGTGTCTAGGAAGTCAGATAAGTCAGGACGGAAGGAGTAGTAGGGATATAAAGTAGAGGATAGCGCAGGGTCGAGTCACCTTCAATAAAAAGAAGTCACACTATGCTCGCGAACGGTTAATTTAGTACGGGTGCGAAACATGGACGATGGGCGCCATGGAAAAGAAAAGGTTAGAAGCGTTCGAAATGTGGTATTACAGGCGAATGATGAGGATACCGTGGATAGAGAAGGTTAGAAATGAAGAGATATTTGAAAGATTAGGAGAACAGAGGACTGGAAGTCAATAAGAAATACGAGGGTGGATTGATAAGTTTCCGGCCTAACCAAGAGATGACGCCACTAGGCCTACCTTGAGGTGACATTCTATAGTACCATCCTTGGATAGCTTGTAGCTATAGTTTCAGCCCGATCTCCTTGCTAGTGTAGGTTTGACAGCACGCTGAACAAGACGCCTCTGTGGTTTTCGTAAAAATGGAAAAGCAGGAAAATCGTGCTGTCATCAAATACTTTTATTTGAAGGGGTTAACGCCGAAGGAAATTAAAAAAGAGATGGACTCAACACTGGGGACATCCTCCCCGTCATATTCAACCGTTAAGCAGTGGGTTTCCGAGTTTAAAAAGGGTCGTGTGAGCACCTCTGATGGGCCTCGCTCAGGACGCCCCGTTGAGGTCACAACTCCAGATATGATCGAAAAAATTCATCAAATAGTGCTGGGAGACCGCAGATTGAAAGTGCGTGAGATAGCTGAGACCTGTAAGATGTCATATGAACGTGTGCAACATATTTTGCACCAACATTTGCATATGGAAAAGCTCTGTGCAAGATGGGTGCCGCGTTTGCTAACAGTCGACCAAAAATTGATTCGAAAAAACATTTCTACCGCAAATTTGTCATTGTATAAGCGTAATCCAAGCGAATTTTTGCGTCGATTCGTAACCGTTGACGAAACGTGGGTCCACCACTACACTCCTGAAACCAAAGAACAGTCTAAACAGTGGATTGGACCAGGGGAACCAACTCCAAAGAAGGCAAAAACAATTTTTTCGGCGAACAAGGTTATGGCTACTGTTTTTTGGGATGCAAGAGGTATTATATACATTGATTACCTTGCAAAGGGTAATACTATCACTGGTCAATACTACGCAGACTTATTGCAACGTTTGAGCCACGAGGTGAAAATTAAACGACCTCATCTGGCGAAGAAAAAAATCTTGTTTCATCACGATAACGCACCAGCGCACACGTCAATCGTTGCGACGGCTAAAATCAACGATCTAAAGTTTGAATTGATGCCGCACCCTCCTTACTCTCCAGACCTAGCCCCGAGTGACTATTTTCTGTTCCCTAATCTCAAAAAATGGCTTGGCGGTAAGAGATTTGCGGACAATGAAGAAGTAATCGAAGCTGTAAATGGTTATTTTGAGGAGCTTGACGAATCAGTCTATAGAGATGGCATTAATAGACTGGAACACCGCTATGAGAAATGTATCAGCCTTGGAGGAGATTATGTTGAGAAATAAAAAAAAAAATTTTTTAAAAACCTTGTTTTTCTTGGTCAGGCCGGAAACTTATCAATCCACCCTCGTAGGTGAGTTAGGTTAGTAGGACATCTTCTCAGGCATGAGATATATTAGAGGCAGAAACGGGAGTTAAGAGGCGTAGAGGTAGACCTAGATTAGATTACTGTTCGCAAATAGTTAAGGATGTGAGTTGTTCTAGTTTTAGGGAAATGCGAAGATTAGCTCAGGATAGGAAACAGTGGAAGTGCGTGTCCAACCAGTCTTAGGACTGACGACCTTATGATGAAGAGTTATTTTGCTTCTAATTATTGATATAAGATTTCCAACCTTCCCTCCCTTCCTTCATATACGTAGAATCTTCACTTTTCCTAACCTG